CAACCTTAGAGGATCTGGCAGTAGAGGATCTGGCAGTAGGCGATATGAAAGACCTCTGCCCGAGACCCTGAAGAGCACTGCCAGTCCAAGCAATCAGTACTGACCCTGATGGACCAATGGTCTGATTCACAGGGTTGCCAGCCTCGAGCTGAGGGCTGGAGATCGCCCAGAATTATAACAGATCTCCAGACTACAGTTCCCCAGGATAAAATGGTTGATTTAGAGGGTGGACTCTTTTGCATTATGCTGAATATTTCAAGTCGTCATGGCGGGGTATTGGGGAAAGTTTTCTATTAGCGATAATCGTGCCTCGGATCAACCTCATTGGCTATGGATATTGCCACTGCACAGATCCCTCTTGAGGCCTTGAGATCCCGCTCCAAGCTCTACCCTCCCCAGGCTCCACCCCCAAATCTCCAGGAACTTCCCAGACTAGAGTGGGCAACCCTACTGATACAGTAGACGCCCACTTCACATCTCCCTGTGCTAGAAAACCCTTTTCAAAGGAGGAACAGTCTCCTGCCCACCTAGTTCGGAAGGATGCTTGCAAAGTTCTCCCCCCTCTGAATTTTCTGCCACATTTCGGGGTGGCAAATTATCTGCACTTGTTCACAGAGTTCAGTGGCACCTTTAAGACCGACAAAGACCATAGACCATTTGAGTTCAGTGGCACCTTTAAGACCAACAAAGTTTTATTCAAGGGATGCATAAAACTTTGTTGGCCAGTGGATTCAAACTCTGTTCTGCTGCTTCAGACCAACATGGCTACCCCGCCTGAATCTACCCTGTCCACAGAGTGACCTCAGTGCTTTGGCAATCCATTAATCTTTTCTAGATTTTAACTTCTGCACTTTGTCCAGACTGTACAGTTCACCACCGTTTGCAGTTCATCTCTCTCCCCCATTCATATCTTGTTCTCCCATCCAGGTGACAGATGCAGACGAGGATTTATCTGTATTGAAACTGGTGTGGGGGAGATGAACGAACAGAAGGAGCTGAGCTGTGGCAAACTGTATCGGCACCAATTCCAGGATTAATTTTAGGAATTCTCTGTGTTATAGAAGAAAGGTGGAACAGAATGCAGGGCAGAACAAACCCTAAGAACAATGTTGGAACAGAACTGGGGACACCTACTCATTTCTACTTAATAGATGTATGGAAAAGGAAAATGTGGGAAGGACAGCTTGTCCTGCAATGATAAAAAAAAGAACTGGCTGCCGTGGGACAGAAAGATCTGGTGTGGTGTAGGGGGTTAGGGTCTAGGAATAAGAAAAAGAAGGAGGAGAAGGAGGGAGAGGAGAGGAGAGGAGAGGAGAGGAGGAGGAGGAGATTGGATTTATAGCCCGCCCTTCACTACCTGAAGGAGTCTCAGAGTGGCTTACAATCTCCTTTCCCTTCCCCTCCCCACAACAGACACCCTGTGAGGTAGGTGGGGCTGAGAGAGCTCTCTCAAGAACTGCCCTGAAGAGAACAGCTCTGGAAGAACTTGTGACTGATCCAAGGTCACAGCAACAGCTACATGTGAAGGAGTGGGGAATCAAACCCGGTTCACCCAGATTAGAGTCTGCGCTCTTAACCACTACACCAAACGGGGAGGCCCAAATTCATCCCCCTCTCCTGTGGCAGCTCAGGGACAAATTATGTCACATTAAGGTTGCCAGTTCTGGCTTCTGGTGGGTGGATCAGCGATGGTGGTTGCTCTCCTCGAAGCTCAAGGAGGCGACTAGCACACCTTCGGCTTGGAGGGGTGCCACCTCAAGTGGCACTCCCACGGAACCCTTGCGGTGGGTTCCAAGCCAAAGGGCTTTTGCGGGTTAGCCTCTTCGACGGCTCGAAGCTGTGGAATAGAGGCATCCCTCCGCCCTGGTGGTGCAGCCGATGGGTGACCTATGGGTGTAAGCCAATCTGACCGGGACAAGCACAGGAGATCAAGCGGAATAGCGATGGAAGAGAGCGAGGTCAGAAGTGACCAACAATGAACGTGAGTGAGAGATAAACAGACTTCCCTTGAGCGTACAAGTCTCTGTTTTTATGAATTTTACTGTTAAAGTTTACTCCACACCCCAGAATATTTTATTTTTTTTCCCTTTTCCTCCCCCCCCTCCTTTCGGAGTGATATGTACGTAGAATGTATTAAATGAACTTTTAAAAAAAATCCATAAACGGCAGGTGATTTCAGAGGAAATGAAAAAGTTGCCAATAGTCACCATCACGGAAGCATTCCACAAAGACAGCCTAGTAATTTTAAAATGATAACGCTCACTAAATTATACATTATAGAGACACATGTATTAAATAAATTTCCTTCTTTTCTTTTCTTTTTTTAGCCTTAGTATGACACTGTTCAGAGTCGAATTGGCTGTGAGAGCAGGATCATTAAAGTAAAATGAGAACGCATTTCCCAGATCCAAAATCAAGTGTGATAAAAGTGGGGAAATGAGAGAGTCCAAGCCAAAACCTTACACGTTATCTGCATGGGATTACTTGGTACATTCAGAACAAGGGACAATTATTTTGCAAAGAGGGGGTGGTGGGGAAGAATCATTCCTGAGGGATGTGGCTTCTGAGGTCAGCTAGGCTATGTGGTGCTCAAACAACTGCTGGTCTTAATTCACAGGGCTTGGCGAAGACACCCAGCCAATTATTCCTTCCGTTTTGTTCTCACTCCTCCTGGCTTCTGAGATGCACGTGCCTAATTTACCCGGCACAGACTATGTTCTGGACTAATAGAATGTATCCCAAGTAGCTGTTCTAAGCAGCAAATTAGACACCTTGTGAATAAGCTCTGCATTTTTCATCGACATGCAAGAGACTTGATTACACCATTGTCTTTTTTTGCAGCAAGAGACAAGCAGGGACAAAGAGACGCGGCAACGGTGACACCCCCCCCCCATCTTCTATTTCTGCAACACAGAAGCAGCTAGCGCCATATGATAGAAGTGATTCCTGTATTACAGAAAAGGACAGGGGGGTCCTGTTTGATACTCTGAAGCTGTTTCTGCATAACTTTCGTCTTAAAACTCTGATTTGGAGACGGAAGCAGGACACTTGGTTGAGCTAGCCCACAGATGCTGCGGACAAACAGATCGCTCAGCTCGGAATAAAAGCCTATAAAGACACTGGGAAGTCCATGTTTGGTACACCCAGCAATTAAAAATAAAAAGAAACCTACCAGGTGCAAATGGACTGATTTAGACTGGGGCCACAGGATGCGGGATGAGGGGATCTAAGCCTCGTGGGGAGGGAAGGAAGGAAAGCTGAAGAAAGTGGGAACAGCTAAAGGTAGGTTGGCTGGTAGGTGGAAGGAGAGAAGGAAGCAGGAAAAGGGGGAGAGGCTGTGAGGGCTGCCAGGGAAGGGGAAAGGGTAGGGTTGCCAACCCCCAGGTGATAGCTGGAGATCTCCTGCTATTACAACTGATCTCCAGGTGACAGAGATCAATTCCCCTGGAGAAAACAGTCGATTTGGAAAGTGGACTCTACGGCATTATACCCCACTGAAGTCCCGCCCCTCCCCAAACCCTGCCTTTCTCAGGCCACACCCCCAAAATCTCCAGGAATTTCCCAACCCAGACTTGGCAACCCTAGGAAAAGGAAACAGTGGGTGAGGAGAAAGGAGATGGCCCCCTCGAATCCTTGTGAGTCCACTACCGGTACCTATACCTTGTGGCTAATAGCAACCGATGGGCCTCTGCTCCATATGCCTATCTAATTCCCTTTTGAAGCCGTCCATGCTTGTAGCCGCCACCACTTCCTGTGGCAGTGAATTCCATGTGTTGATCACTCTTTGGGTGAAGAAGTACTTCCTTTTATCCATTCTAACCTGAACGCTCAGCAATTGCATTCAGTGCCCACAATGCCCCAGGATAGGCAGAGATGGCATGACGTTGTTGTCCCCGTTGAATATGCTCATTTCACTATTACCAGCTTTTGCGGTGCTTCATAACCCTACATGGACTCTCTCACCAGAGAGGGCAGTAGCACCAAAGAATGGTCTGTGTACCCCAAAGGCAAAGACCTTCAACTCTCTTAAAAGCAACCTGCTGTCAGCTGCAACCTCTATGTTAAAGTTCTTTCACTTCTCTCCCCTTCTCCAAATCACCCCCTCAAAAATCCACTTATTCAGCAAAATTTTAAATGTATTTGGTGGTGGTGGTGGTGGTGGTGGTGGAAAGTGCTGTCAAGTCACAGCTGTCTTATGGCGACCCCCACAGGGCAAGAGATAGACAGAGGTGGTTTGCCATTGCCTGCCTCTGAGTCACAGCCCTGGTATTCCTTGGAGGTCTCCCATCCAAAGACTAGCCAGGGCCAACCCTGCTTAGCTTCCAAGTTTTGATGAGATCAGGCTAGCATGAGCTATCCAGGTCAGGGCATCCCAGTTCTCTCCCCGACAGGGACCAAAAGTGGCTTACAACGTTCTTCTCTTTTCCATTTCATCCTCTGGGTGGGGAAGGTTGAGTTTTGTGTTGCCATTCCACTCTCCCTTATGGCATCTTGAGACTCCTTTAAGAAGCTCTGTCCTCTTCCGTCATTTGTGTCCTTGATGTCTTCCACAGATTGCAAGCGCACTGTGGAAGAACTGTGGAGATTCTGTGTTTTGTATGGTGCATTCACTAATCTGTCCCATGCTCAGATTTCTTGGCATGCCACATTTAAAAAAAAAAAAAAATAGTCGGAATTGTTATTCCATGAGGCCCAAAAATTGTTCAGCTAAGAGAAGTGGTGATGGATGATTTCTGAAATGCCAATCTTGTCTTTCCACTTGTACCTCGCCATTCCGATGGACCGCTTAACCCCAGGACTATAAATCATTTAGCAGAAGCTTTGGAAATGCGCAATGATTTATGGACCTTCTCGTGGGAAATGGATTAGCAATCAGGCTACTTCAGGTCTCAACTATGCGCGATTCCACCCCCCACACACACACACACCCAAGACATCATCATTCAAAAACCAATTCAAATTACATTGTTAAAAAAACGGGCAAGCAAAGCTATGCTTACTGTAGCCAATTCATCAAACTTCCCAAAGAGCTCGTTCAGAAGCTTCACCAGTTCTTGAGCGGTACATTGTGACGCCAAGCTGGTGAACCCGACAATGTCCGCAAACAATATGCTGCAAAGAGAAGGAAGGAGACAAAGATGAATTAACAGGCTGTTCTTACAGATCTGGCTGTTTATTTATTTATTTATTACTTTCAATTTATATTCCACCTTGCCAAGGCAGACTGGTTCAAGGCGGTGTTCAACAAGTTAAAATATGATAAAACAATAAAATACAATAACATTCACATAACAATTTACATAAAGTGCTAGTAAGTACAGATGGTGGTTGCTATAAATGGTCCGATGAAGGAAGGCAATGTACAATATTGTAACATGAGGGCCGTAGCATGTTCAGTTTCAGATGATTCATTCGTCAGTGGCAGCTCCTAATCGAAGGCCTGGTGGAAGAGCTCCGTTTTACAGGCCCTGTGGACCTGTAAAAGGTCCCACAGGGCCATGATGTCTTCTGGGAGCTCATTCCACCAGTGTGGAGCCGCCACTGAAAAGGCCCTAGCTCTGGTAATGGCCAATCTGGCGTCTTTCGGACCAGGGAGAGTCAGGAGATTTTGCAACCCTGACCTCAGTGCTCTCTGAGGAACATATGGGGAAATGCGGTCCCTCAGGTAGACAGGCCCCCAACCGTATAGTGCTTTAAAGGTCAAAACCAGCACCTTGAAACGAATCCGGTATGCTATCGGCAGCCAGTGCAGTGCCTTTTAACAAATCTATGAAAGGAATGCCTGAGTGAAAGTTAGGGATGAAATCCAACCCATCATGTGCAACTTGAAACCCTCATCAATTTATACAGGAGCCGGATAATGAAAGAATACGAATACCCTCCTGTTTCAAGAGGACAATCCAATTTCAAATAACTACCTTCACAAACACACACATATATAGACAAACCACAGTAAGGAAAAGATTTGGTTCAAATCCCTGGAAAGCTTTGACAAACCAGAATCTGAGATGAAACACGAGTTTTTTTAGGCTTGCCAAGTCCCCCCGGGGGGCGGGGAACCCCCCGCCCCAGAGGCCCGTTCCCCGCCGCCGGATCGGGCCCCGGGGGGAACTCCACCCTGACGTGCACATCACCAGGAAGTGACACGACCACGGCGGGCATGCTGGGGGTGGGGCCACGGTCATCCGAGGGAAAACTCTATGCCCCCCCGGATGGTTGTGGCCCCGCCCCCAGCGTGCCCAGCGTCGTCACGTCACTTCCTGGTGACGTGGATGCGGCGCACGTGCGCAAAGCGCGCACGCTTGCACTCCAGGATCAACCCGGGAGTCCCCCGCTCCGCAACGAGGACAGACTTGACAACCCTTTGTGTATCCGTGCATTTTTGAAAAGGACCATGCTATCTAGAGTTTGAGAAGTATAATATGAAAATATGGATTGTTTCATGGGGTAGCCATGTTGGTCTGCCATAGAACAGCTGGATTTGAGTCCAGCAGCACCTTAGGAACCAAGAAGATATTTGGGGTATGAGTTTTCAAGAGTCAAGGCCAGTGTTCCCTCTAAGCTGAGTTAGTGTGAGCTGGCTCACAGTTCTTTAGCCTCCGGCTCACACATTTTTGTCTTAGCTCAGGAAGGAGGGCTCCAGAGCAAACTGATTTATGCAGTAGCCAAACTGCTCACTCATGACTTTAATGCCAGTAGCTCACAAAGTAGAATTCTTACTTACAAGACTCCACAGCTTAGAGGGAGTATCAGTTCAGGCTTCATTTGTCAGGCACTACATGAAAACATGGAGTTTCTTTGTTTCTTAGAACGCAAAAACAATTTCCCGTATGTTCTGATTGAACTGCAAACAAACTGTTTCCCTGCACCTCGATTTTAATTTGGTGAGCTGATGGGAAGAAAGTAGACTCCTTTGATGAAATGTGGTGTTGGAGGAGAGTTTTACTGGTGCATGGACTGCCAGAAAGACAAGTCAGTGGGCTCTAGAGCAAACCAAGCCTGAACTCTCCCTAGAAGCTAAAATTACTCAGCTTGGGCTATCATACTTTGGTCAGCAGAAAAGAGCAAGAGTCCAGTAGCACCTTAAAGACTAACGACATTTGTGGCAGGACAGGAGCTTTCGTGAGCCACGGCTCACATCTTCAGATACAACTAGAATGTGAGTCCACGGCCGAGTTCAGACTGGCAGTTTGCCCCGACATAGGCATGTTTCAGAAACGTTCCACAACCAGATTCAAGGGGCTGTTCACACAGGCACATCTGTCCAGCGTTCCCCAGCCGTACTCAACCCATCTTGTAACGCTTCGCTCCCGAGTTTAAAAGATACCTGGTGAAAGTGGTATCAAACCCTGGAAAGTGCGATTATCCTGCACCAACAGAGTGTAAACGCCAAAAGCCGCGGGTTTTCTTGTGCACTTATGCGCATAAGCGCATATCTCCAGATTACCAAAAGAAAGCCGCGCCTTACAGCTGTGCCTCCACCAGGGGAGGGCCAACAGTGTGAATGCTCCCTTGCGCCTCCTCCTCGGTATGCTCCCGCATCAGTCGGCGCAGTGTGTCCGGGAAAACCCGGAACAGTTTGTTCCGGGTCTTTTTTGCCACGACTCCCTCCCGCTTCAAACTGCCCATCTGAACTCGGCCCATCTGTACTTATACCTTGGAGAATGGAGTGATTTCAGATGCCAAATGGAATTAGCAGGCAAATGACAGTAGCTGACGTGATTGGATTAGGTCTGGTATGCAGAGAGGTAGTAGGCCTGGAGAAATCAGCACTGGTCAAGTTATGAGAGGAAAAGAATCACTGGCAAAGACAATAATGCTAGGAAAAGTTGAAGGCAGCAGGAAAAGAGGAAAACCCAACCCGAGATGGACTGACCCTATTGAGGAAGCCACAAAGGCCCTCAGTTTGCAAGACCTGAGAATGGCTGTTAACAGGGGTCATTTCGTAGAAAAAGAGGTGCAGGAGCTCATTAGCATAACTAATTAGCATAACTTATTTGCATATGCCACACCCCCTGACATCACCGGAAGTGTCTCAGAAGGCAACACCCACCGCTCAGGCTCCACTGGACTGTTTTGGATTGCTAGCTATTGGGGGAGGGGACGTGCAGATCTGTCCTCGCAGAGGAGGGAGAGCTTGTACCTGAATAAAACTTGGTCTTAAAGGTGCCACTGGACTGTTTTGGACCGGAGGGCTGGGGGGGGGGAGCTTTGCAGCTTACCTGTCTCCTTCTTGCTCTGACTGAGGGCTGCGAGGAGCAGGGGGTGGGGCTTGTTGCATGTGCCCGCCCCCTGGGCTCTTTACTGCCGGAGCTCCGCTCCTGCAGGAAATGACCCCTGGCAGTTAACGATAGGATGTTTTGGAGGACATTCATTCATAGGGTCCCCAGTGACCAGGACCTGAACAAAATAGCTTTGGTGGATCTAAGAAAAGGGTTTGCCAGAGGGTGTCCAAGGCAAGAGATGTTCAGAAGTGGTCTGCCATTGCCCGCCTCTGTGTCATGACCCTGGACTCCCTCGGCGTTCTCCCATCCAGGGCCGAGCCTACTCAACGTCCGAAAACTGACGAGATCAATGCTAGAGCCTGGCGTTGTAAACATCATCACAAACATTATGTTAAAACTTTGCTCTCTTAACATCCCAGTGTCCTCTGAGGTTTGCATGAATCTGGCTTTAAAAAAACCGCCCACGATTGCTGGCACTTGGAACTGACACAGAGATCTCAGACTCCTTTTGGGTCTCAGCATTCGTGGATGGTGCATCCCCCCCCCCCAACAAACCATTCTCAGCCGCCACAATCTCCTTGAGCGCACACCTCTCCTACGCTGTTCCCTTTCCAAGTCCTCATCTGTTCCCAACCCCTCCTCCCCAGAGGCCCGTTCCCACTCCATGTCCCCCTGGGGACTCAAGTGAGCCACAGCTGCCCCGATTAATCAGCAAACCCTCAACAGTTCCGTACAGGGCCCTAAACACCTGAGAACAGCATATGTCAGCACGAGGGCTTGCCTGTAACGCTGGATGTTTCAGAGCCCTGTCGCGGGGAAAGGATCGGTATTTCCCATAATGAAGGACACGATGAAAAAGTACAATTGGGACTGCTGACTACGGGTTGGATCCAAGCGGCTTTTTCACTCCGTCTTGCCCAGTTCTCTTCCACGGGGTCCCATGTGGGTTTTGGACATGCAGGTCTTGGGATCCCCAGCAAAGACTTGGTAGTCCAAGAGAACCCATCCTTTCTTTATTCACCAGCTGAAAAGTGCAGGTTGCATGTCATGTGAGCTAGATAGTCCCTGCCTGACCCCAAAGCATCCTTCAGAGGACAAGATTTGTAGCACAAAAGAAGGGGCTGTTTAACCCTTTCTCCCCCTTCACTTTCTCCTTAATTCCTCTAGTTTGGTGTAGTGGTTTGGTGTAGTTTGGTGCAGTGGAGCCAGTTTGGTGTAGCGGTTAAGAGTGTGGAATCTAATCTGGGAGAACCGGGTTTGATTCCCCACTCCTCCATGTGCAGCTGCTGGTGTGACCTTGGGTCAGTCATAACTGTTTTCAGAGATGTTCTCTCAAGGGCAGTCCTCTCAGAGCACTCTCTCTCTCAGCCCCTCTGACCCACAGGGTGTCTGTTGTGGGGAGGGGAAGAGAAAGGAGTTTGTAAGCCGCTCCGAGATTCCTTTGGGTAGTGAAGGGTGAGATATAAATCCAATCTCTTCTTCTTTTCTATCTATCGCTACTACCCCACACGGGGTTCCAGACATGTTTACCTTGCAGACAAGCATCTGGAGAACACTGTTTGGGGAGAAAGTACCTGGTGGTACATTTGGAGGGAAACTGGTGGATAGTGGGATAGTGAAAGAGCTGATTACCCACTCCCATCTCTTTTGTCATTCACTGCCTACAGGGAACTGTCGCCTTGTAACATGTAGTTTGGCCCTTAAGAAATTCCACCTCTTTGCTACTTAACATAAGTCCCCTGATTAGGAGTAAAGCAGAGATAAAACACATTTTAAAAACCCCACAATAAACCCAGTGTCTTACAAGCAATGCACAGCACAGACAAAGAAACCCCGCAGAGAAGTTAATAAAGTTCATGTCGCAGCGTTCTGAAACCAACCACATCT